GGAGATTGAGTTGCTGGAGTGTGTCCGTAGAAGGGCAACAAAACTGGTGAAGGGTCTGGAGGACAGGTCTTTGGAGGAGCGACTGAGGGAACTGGAGCTGTTTAGTCTGGAGAAAAGGAGACCTCATCACTCTCTACAGTTACCTCAAAGGACGTTGTAGTGAGGTAGGTGTTGGTCTCTTTTCCGAAGTAACAAGTGAAAGGATGAGAGGAAATGGCCTGTTTGCACCAAGGGAGGTTTAGATTGGACATTAGGAAAAATTTCTCAATGGAAAAGGTTATCAAGCATTGGAACAGGCTGCCCAGAGAAGTGCTTGTGACACCATCCCTGGACGTATTAAAAAGACATGTAGATGTGGTGCTTATGGACATGGTTTAGTGGTGGACTTGGCAGTGTTAGGTTAATGGTTGGACTCAATGATCTTAAAGGTCTTTTCCAACCTAAACGATTCTATGAGAATGGGGTAATAGAGCGGATTTTTTTTTTGCTTTTGCAAAACTTTCTACTTTGAAGTTATTAAATAGGACTGCTACCATTAACATGAAAGTTTCCTACCATTTTAACTGATTCCCCCATCAGCATCTCTTCCTCCAATACTGTTTGTTTCAAATCACCTCTTTACCAAAACTAATGCTGAAATAGTATCAGCTGAACCTTGAAATTCTGATAAAAATTAAAAGAGAATTAAATTGTATAGAAAAGACTATAGATGGATAGGTAGAAGCTCTGCATACAATCAGTTGCTTGCAGATGTAGCTATTCTGGATATATTTCAATTTTCCTTCATAAAAATTGGAAGATGTTTGCCCCAATTAAAATAAAAAACATTAAATCATTGAGCTAAGGCAGAAAAAAGATGAATTTTAGATTTAATGGTCTTCTCCCCACTCTCTCACTCATCTAGCTTAAAATGTTGGTGCTCTGACACCTGCTGTTCCAGTGCACTAGAACATTCTCTCTCCCTCTGTAGTTTTATTGATTTGCAGACTATAGTTCATACATGAAACTCTGCACTGCAATATTTCTCTCTTGAAAGACTTCTAACCTCAATACCTAACACTTTTCTTCAATATTTTTTTGCGTTTCTGAAAAATAGTTTAATGTAAAGCACTACAGAGAATCATGTCTTGCTGCATTTTTCATAGGGTTCAAGCTGCTAGTGCTGTTCTCAAAGTCTTGGCATATTTTAGCAGTTGTATCTCCTTCACCCTCACAGAAAGAGCAGGCCATCAGGAGCTTCAGCAGGCAAGAGTCTATCAAAATGGCAAAATGAAATGGGACAACAGTCCTACCACACATGATAGCTGGTATTTATACCAGAATACACAAAGAAGCTAAAAGCTTTTTCTTTTTTTTTTTTTTTCCTGACTGAAAATAATAAAGGAACATAACAGACAAAAGTTTTCTTCTTGCTCAGGCAGCTTCTTGGACTTTGCTTTGACAAAGAACTATGAAATCGCACAATCTACCTATTGTTACCGTGTAGAGCTGCAGAATATCACAGAAACATCACAGGATTTTAATTCAGACCATACTTGAATAAAGACTATTATCTTATTCCCTTGGAACTCTCTTCCAAATTTCATCTAAGCTTTGGAGTATGAGAACGTACACACAGACACTCAAGCTCCACCCTTCTACCTTCACTGCAGCCCAGCTCCAATCACAGCATTTTGCTAAAATGTCCCATCACTGTCCTTAATCATCCAGAAATACAATTGGTTTCTAGAGAAACTTGAGACCAGCACACAATCTCCTTCCACGTCTTTGCTTGTTTTGACACTGGAACCATACACTATTTCACTTTTCCTACTCTTGCAGCACTGCCCCTCTGAGGTTTTTCTATTTATTTCTCCATGCTTTCCCCAAACATATGATGAATTCTTTCTGCCCTCCCCCTCTTCACAGAAATAAAAGCACTGGGAAAAGCTCTCCTTCTTTGTCCTCCCCCTTTTTACTCCAGACCAAATCTTTGACAGGTAAGAGATCAAACATATGCAAGTTTAGACAACTGTCTCCTAAAAAGAGATGGAAGCTGCTCAGTTAATATCCTTACCTTCCCTTTTGTTTTCAGTGCAAGTCAGTTGATTGTGGATTTTCCACCCCCAGACTGACAGTCTTCTTTCCTCAGCCCTTCTAATGTGGCCTAAATAGTTCCTCTGTAGGTTTGACTTGATGTCATTCTCTATCACCAAACTACTAAAGCTAAGAGTAATTAAGGAGGATGTAAAAAAAACTTTAATTTGGCTGAGATTTTCCTTAAATTAAAGGTGGAAACAGGAACTCCTCATGGATATGTTGTCCCACAAGCAGGGTCCAATACCTGGTGTGCAAAACGCCAATATACACAGAGTTGAGGTATTTTATTTCATTGATGAGCATCAATGGGTGCCTGTCCCAAGACAGCACACCTGGCCTCAGTTTCCCACAACTATACACTTAACTAACACATATTCATCACTATTCCCTTTGATGATTGGTTCTTCTTCTTCACTTCTGATGCAAATTAGTGCACAAGCTCTGTCTTCTTCTTCCATTGTCCTTTTTGAGTAGGTGGTATAATTTGGGTAGGTGGTGAATGAGTCAGTGGTTGCGATCTCCCATTGCCAGAATTACCTTTTGCCCATTTCTTCTCTAATCTTGGCAGTCCCAAGCAGTTCTTCAATGATCCACCAACCTTTCTGATAGAGCCACATTGCCTTAATAGTTAGTTCTTAAATCTAGTCTTAAAACATGTCTAGTTACTGTTTCACCAAAATTGGATCAGGACCATACAAAGGGCTCTTAGCAGCTTCCCAGCTGCTTCAATCACATTTTATGTTTTTTTTTTTTTTAATACCAATGACAACAGATATGAGTTCTGATAAGGAATGCTACAAACCAAACTTGCAAAACATTGGGTCCTTCAACGGGGATATGCTATGGAAGCTGCAAGTGTGTATGAGTTAAGCAAAGAGCATTACATTGTGCAAAGCACCTTTGTGAGCAAATCAACAAACAGATAAAGTACTAACACAATTTTAGAGTTTGAACTTTGTTAGATAGCCATCAACCTCTCTAGTGTAGCTACAGAATTACAGCACAGGATGACATTAAAAATACACAGGAAGTATTAATAATTGTATGGCCCACTTCCTGAAACAAAGTAACAAACCTAAGCATCTATTTCACACAAGTATAAGATCCCTGCTTTAAAGTCGTTTTTAAATGATCCCTGGTCTGAAGTTGTATTTTTACATGTCCTCTTTCTCCTACACAGCAGAAGACTCCACAACAATAGGTGTACATACCACCCTTTTTATTTTTCAGCCAGAAATACAGTTTCACAGGGTATTTCAATAAACGGTGGTGTTTATTCCTTAAACAAAACTCCCATCTCTTTGGCATCTGACTATATTCTGTTTTTCAAACTAAAGACTATATAGGAAGATTTTACTTTCAAGATCATTGTTCAACACAATAAATTTACACAGGTGTAGTCAACTTTTTTAAAAAAACATCAGTTTGTTGCAAAGATTCTAACAAAAAATTAAAAATATAACCAAACCAGCAAAATGTAGACTACTGGGCTGCCTTCATTTACAACTTCGCAGTGACAGAATGAGAACTCTTCATTTTCCACAGCGCATGCACTAACTAGTGCTTTCTATTCATTCTGTATGATAAACAAATAAAAACATATCTTAATTCTACCAGAAACAACTGATCAAATAATTTACGTTTCAAAACAATGTGATCTTACTTTTAATTTCTTCTGCAGAGGTCATCAGCCAAAATCAAGTTGCATACTGCTTCAGTATAAGACTGCACCTAAAAAAAGTCTGAAAACTACTTTTCATTTTTAAAAATAAGTTACTCAAATGTTTTAAATACATCTAGGAATACAGCTGTCAAAACTGCATTTGATGTCATGTTCAGATAAAAAAATTCTTAAGTAACAAAAGTAAGCTAGTGTATTCAATCAACTGTTGAATAATCCAGGATCATCTCTTCAATGCTGATACAGAAATACTTCACTTGCACTCCATCAAAAAACAAAAATCAGCCTTCCGGATCTCAAGTGTTCAGTGCTTAAGATCAAGCGAATTTCCAAAGCAATACTGAAGTTATTTGACACTGTCCGTTACTATATACGATACCAAAATCATGAATTAAAATCAAAAACATTCTTGACATACCAATGCAGACGTCCCAGTGTATTTACTGCATTCTGCAGTGAATCTCTGTGTGTCAAGACAATGTAAAAAAATAAATCCCACTAACAAAAACAAAGATCTTCACTCCCAAAAAGATTTGGTTTTAATAACCCTAATACTTACCCTGAACAAGTTTTACAGAACAGAGGAGGCAAAGCAATTACTTCCATGCAGAAACTAAAAATTAATTTAATAGGGTTCAAGTAGCAAAGGTTTGTTTTGTGAGTGAATCTCACCCTCACCACCAGTGCAAGTGCAGTTTGAAAATGTTTGAACTGGATTGTTTAATTAGCAAGTGATCCAATTTAGCCAAGCTCACTTTTCTCTCCATGATGGAAAAACAGAATACAGGAACAAAAAGTAAAACAGAAAAACCTCCTAAACTTGAGTACTCATCCAAGAGCAATTTCTAACATCAAGACAAAATTAGCAACAACCAAGCAGACATTACCAATTTTTCAGTGTTAAATTACTGTAAATAGTAGATCTATCTGTACAAAAAAAAAATAATCTCAAACTCAAAAATAAAAAGCTTTTTTTTTTTTTTTGTTAAAAGGTGTCCAAAGAAATATCCACCAGTTGCAGTCAAATTTGCATCAGAAGCTGCTTGTTCAGGAAAGATTTCTCCCTCCAAGTATTTGTAACACATTGCATCGTGAAGATTCTATTCAAATAAATTATTTTCTGATAACATTTAGCTGATACAACCACCTAGATGTGGACAGTCATGTACACAGTACAACAGTGGGTTTTTGCATCAACAGAGAAATAATCAGAAATTGGTTCTAAATTCGAGATGACAGCTCATGTGTTATTTCTTGCAAACATATGGTCCCCTCTAAGGGTAAGGTGTTGTAGCTGGTATTGTAGCACTTCTGTGTCAGCAGGTTCCTTGATGCTCATTTTGTCTAAATTGAGGTAGTCCAGGGATTTCGAATGAGCCCTTTTACCTTTCAAAAGGCAAAGAGGCAGGGGACCATGAAGTGCCTTGTAAGGTTCATATGGTAAAGTCTTAGTGCATTTATCCCCTGAGCTGGGCATCCGTCTCCTCCTCCTTCCATTTACTGCTGGGATCTCATATGGCTGATAGTACCTACTCCTAGTTTTATACAAATGGGAGGAACGTGTAAGTCCTGAATCAAGTTGTTTGGAGCGCAAGTTTGGCCCAGATTCCCCTTTATTCTCTTCACTTCCTGTACACTTCTGGGCTAATTTTAGCAGCTCCTCTCCAGTCGTGAAGCCAACCAGATAGTTAGAATCCATGTGAAGGATCTGATATCCTGTAACCATCCGTCGCATTGGTGAGCAGGGTGTACTGGAACAGCGCGGCTTCTCTGCTTCCATCCTGCCTGCAGGACTCACCTCTGCAAGAGGCACAGGGAGGGTGGATAGGGTAGTTCTGGAGTCTCCATTTATGTCAACTTCCATTTTAAACACAACGTTATACTCCTAAAAATAAAACAGAGCTTGATCAGGAATAGAGCCTTTATGCAACACCAGGAGTTGAGAGAGGATCACAGAAACGAGATTTTGTATCATCCAGAAGTCAGGACCAGCACTTCTCTATTCAGCCTTGTCTTAGCTCTGCAGGGTGCCTCATAACAAAACTATCGCCAACATCTGCCTTTTAAAATTATTTTGAGTGTTTTTTAAATAAAAGATATCATAAATATACTCCCAATATTCTTAAACATTAAAAACATTCTTGAGTAGTATTGTACACAAAAAAGAAGCATCTTTCCAGTCCACTTTTAATCCTTTTAGTCCATCTGATTTCTTATAGCCCCTCACCTCTGCAGCCATCTACATCCATTAGCACACTCACAGCAATTTCTCCCATATTCAGCTGGGTATTTTTCCTATTGACAATAATCTCAGTAAACACACCTTTTAAAAAAATGCTACTACCTCAGTCAGGAACGACCATGGACCAGACCTGATCTACTAAGGGTACTGCAATGCCTCCCTCTTCCAGATGTGAAGACAGTTTGCTTTAGATTCAAAGAATGGGATCCTGGCTGTTCAACAGCTGGCTTTATAGGTCATCAGCAATCCTCTCCCTCAAAAAAAAAACAACTATTGTCTTATTCACAATCAACCAAACTCAAACTATTCAAATGGATTTCTAACAAAGGAAACAGTATATGAGCATTTAATGAATATAGCATAAGATGTTTATTAAAATCTTAAGAATAACCAATATTCCAAATTCTATGGTATTTATTTGTTTTTCTGTTTCTTTAGGAACCAGACTATTTTGCCGTGACCCTTCTTCCCTCACAAGTATTCTAAACAAATTGTTTGGTGCCCTTACAGATACAACTGTCTGCCACAAGCCATTACCATCTCTAACACGGAAAGTAAGGTCAACAGCACAGCAAGTATACACCAGCGGATGCCAGAACACAGAGAAGGCTTAATTCTTTTCATTTCTTTGTTTTCAGCATCATCTACACCATCTCAGTGGCAAAGCTACTTCACAAAATAGAAAAGCCACATTTGTTTCCAAATCCATGCTTCCTTCATTGTCAGCCTCATCTTTGCTCTTTTGCTCTCAACAGTAGCTAGTGGCTCTCTAGCCAATACAGTTCACAAGCACAGCTTTGTAATATTTAAAAGGCAATGAGACTCAAAGAAGAAAAGAAAGTTACTATGCAAGTGGCAAGCAGAAACACAACTCTGAATTTCATTACCAGTGACTGCAAACCACATTCAAAAGCTCAGTGATGTTTCACAAATGAGACTGACTTGAAACATGCTATTACCAGTTTGGAAACTTTTAAAGCTACTACTTGCTGCCATTCTGAGGCTTAGGAGGTCACAGGTCAAGTAGCAAAGATGCAACAAACAAGGGTATACTTCATTCAAACTTCTGCAATTAGACATCCCTAAAAATCCCATCAAGATCAATCTTTATATACTCTTCTTAAAATAAGAGGAAAAGCCGTGTGCAAATCTCACTTGCAAAAGAAAATAATCTAGCAAAATTCCTCATGCAAAATTTAAGCCTACCTTGTTTCTGTTCAGAGACTGGGAAGTAGCAGTTTAAGTAATATTACCATCTCTGCTTCCCAGCTTAGTCGCAAAACAGCCTACTGCTCCCTATGCTAATAAACTAGGAATAAATAAAATCCCCATAGTTTTGCTGAAGAGGGTATTAATTGTCATTGACAAACTTTTATGAAAGATATTACTAATGTTCCTTTAGTCTTAAATGTCCTTTTTTGGTTCTCACAATCATGGTCTACTCAGGATACTTCATTACCAGTTTTGTGTAGCATCACTTTTACAGATACACAGATACACTTCATCCAGGCAGCTTTTAAGCATTTTGAATTTAACAATACAGGGAACACAGCAAAATCTAAATAAAGAATTAAAATACTGAAGCAAACCAAACACCAAAATTTTTCACTGAAAAAATCATCCACATAAAACTCAATAATGTTGCCCGTTATATTTAATTGACTTTGAAATACAGTTATGGAATCAATTAAAACTTTCAAAATAGCAGAAGCAGTTGTTGTTTCCTACTTTAGCACGATATCTAGCAGTGAGACAACAAATAAGGTGAGGTTTCAGTCACTGAGTTAAAGATATTAACGACAATTCCTTAACTAGAAATTATAGATCCTGCACCATCAGGAACCATGGCTACTGGAGGCATAGCACAGAAAATTTTGCATTAAAACTTTTGGCTACCCTGTGGTTTTAGCCAAGAAATCAAACGTTTAACTGTTCCTGTTCTTTTAATTTCAAATTTTTACCCTGCAGTTCAAAAATCTTTCCAGTAATCTTCAAGATTTCAGACTCAACCCATTCTGTTAAAAAGCTGAAAAGATGCTAGGAAAAGTACAAGTAAGTGCTAGAAAAAGTTTAAATAAAATACTCATACAGCAAGGATAGAAAATTAATCATATTAGTCACATATGAACAGCAACAACAAAAAACCACAACAAACAAGAAACAACAATCACTTGCCACAGCAATACATGCCCTGTGTAAGGTAAGGGAGGAAGAGATGTCTTCACGCATTGTTTTGGAGTTAAAGCCTTGAGAATTTGAGAGTAACAGAAAGGCTCTTCTCTGAACACAGCTTTTAAAATTAATTTACTTCCGTTTGAAACATTGGTGTGTTCCCTGGTAACAAAAAGCAATCAATTTTGAAGAGTAACTACAAGCACGAGGGAAAGATGCAGGAGTTCACTGCTGAACAATTACCCCTCACTGGCCAAAAATAGTACAAAGGAAAATCAGAGCAGATAAGCCTTCAAGTCAGGAAGCTCCAGCTTAGTACTTCAGCCTGAAACTGCATAACTTCCATTTTTCTGCTCCAGTGCAAAGACCAGCCCTAAAAACAAGAAATCCAACAGACAACAGCAATAAGCTTCAGAAGCTGGTGCCATAAATATCAGAAGCTCAAGAGAAGAGCACTGCTAGCTGGTAAGAGGAATGACTGGCCAGCTCCACAGGCACAGGTCCGAAACTCAGCATGTATGTGTTCAGGTGTTCTTTCCCGAGACTTTTAATATCAGTTACTGAAGCTGCCATATGGTTTCAACATGCTTTGTCTCCTTATCTGGTAAAAAAAAGACAGAGAAACATCATTTAGAGGACTTCTACGAAAGAAAATAATTTGGGAGATCCACAGTAAGCATAAATATCATTACCTACAAATATATATTTAAAACTTTTAGACTGCATTTCCATGGATATAAGGCATTGGATGACTATTATGTTTATTGCTGCCTAGTGGTGTAAGCTCATCAGTAATCCTCAGCATCAATTATTATACTGAAAAAACCCCCACCCAGTACTTCAGTTTAAAAAGATTATTTCTTCAGATCACAGCTGCCTTGTCTTCTCAGTCCTCAAAGAGACTGACAACGGAGTTTCAGGCTGAAGTACTAATGCCAATTAAGACAATTTATAATTAAAGATTTACTATAGAATCAAAACAAGAAAAGGAACAACATAGCATATCCTTTCCTTTGCTGCTGTTTCACATATTTCAGAACTATAGAAAATAACTGAAAATAAGTTACCAAGAGGATTCACTTGACCAATATACACCAGAAGTGCTTCCAGAATACAATTCACTTCATTAAGATTTTACAAGATTTTATCGATTCTCTTTGTATTACAAAGCAGGCTCTGCATACAAATCAATCTCACCCAATCCAGCTAAATATTGAGAAAATTGTCTAAAACACAGAAAAGAGGAATAAGGAACAGAAATACTAGGTTAAATACTATACATCACTGTATTACCTCAAAGAATACATCAATATGCTTGGGATAGTTCTTCGAGGGTAAAAACATCAAAACCTCCACATTTTGCGAATACAAAGGCTTTTCAATTATTGAATCTTTCACAAATGTGTGAGATACCACTCAAAGATTAGCTTGAGACAAATGAAAAACAGACATGTATTACACACACGTCTAACATCACACCATGCTAATATATGCACTGGATTTATAAATCATTTGTTGGAATGACCTCTCGCCATGCGTTCTTACTGCACCCAATGGTATCTTTTGCTTGCTTGTTTTTTTCCTGACCATTTATTTTTTCTGTTAAATGTATTACTTACTGTCTTTCTGAGTAGAGAAATGTGCCTCAAAAACTATCAACTTTAATAACTCAATATTTAAAGAAGACAAAGAAAGATGAAGAGGGGTTTCCCTTGACACTCTCTACGTTTTGTAGAAAGTCTGCATTATGTTGAAACCACCACAATTAAGTTGCTCCGAGCAAAGGAACTGGTTCTCTGTAAATTGTTATTTCCGTTGTTACTTATCTTCTCAATCAGATTTGTGAAGATGCATTTTCTTTAGGAGGACTATGGAATTTCTGTCCATCCAACTACTGATTTTATTTCTTTTTTTAAGAACAGATTCTTTTTTTTCTAGATGCCAAGCCTGCAGACAAAACCATTTGTTAGGAACCACAAAGATCTGTCTCATTGATAAAATGCTCATAATTGCAATAAGCAGATGGCAGAATGGAAAGATGGCAACAGACTCAGCAATACCAACTCTGTAAGAGTCAAACATACTCAATGGAGATATCAAGCCAGTTTTGACACTTCCTTCTCTGCACTGCCATTAGTTAATATATACAATGCACTTAGGAGACACAATGTTTGTCTATCAAACATCAGCAGTAAGTAACGTTACCCAGCATATGTGAAGCACATGTGAAGCCAGCACACATTTTTAGTTATTTCAACTGTCTCTGTGAAGGGGAACAAAAAGGTCTACATCTTTCCCTTGGCACTCTGAAAAGAAAAATTCACGTACATATAGAATGTGCTCTTGGAAATCCCATCTTGTTACTGTTACTGAAATATGCTGATGGAATTATGTACTTGTGAAGCAAAGTTTTCTGGAAATAATTATTTCAAATCTGCAACTTAAGGGAAAAATCAAGCTAAAATTCAACTATGTAAGAGTATCCAAAAGCTGCCACATTTCTTTTTCTAGAGCTGGGGCAGGCAGGCCATAGACTTTGAGATGTATACAGCTTGTAGGTTCTTCCAGTACAAGCTGGTGATACTGCTGCACGTACTGCCAGAGCCAGATGGTTGTTTTTAGCCATGCTCTTTACCTTCAGCTGAAGGGACAGACTAATGTTGCTTCACCATGCTCTTGAAGGTCCCCTATAACAGTCGCATTTTGTTTTACTGACTGATACCACAGTTGTCGAGACAGGAGAGGGGGGTTAAAAAAAAAAACAACACACACACACACAGAACAAGCTCATGAAAGGTATCAATAAACTATACACATTCTTCCAACTCTTGTTGTTCCTGAGGAGAAATTCCAAACTATCTAAGCTAAAGAAAAACAGAGTGAAGGTAATATGAAATTGTTGCACCACGCGAGACAACATTCTTCTGTGTGTGTGTGTGTCTGTGTGTGCATGTTTAGGGTCTTGTCAACAGGTGAAGTATTAAGCCCTTCAGCAATCCAGTATACTGGACAATATATACATGGTTTATACAGAACAAGGAATTATTAAATGTTTTGCAAAAGAAGATTAAATAAATTTCTAAGAACTATTTAACCAGTTTGTTAATTCTTGTTATTAATACAGCTTTAAACAGAAACCAATTTTGGTCCAGGAAACTAGCATTTAAAAACAAAGAGAATCACAAATGAATTACTGATGAACTATAACTGGCAACTCCAGCAACTAGCTCAGACCAGATCAGCATGACAGATTGTACAATTTACACAGAAAAGAGACAAATGGAATTTCAAGAGTTGGTCCAGACTAATGAATTTTGTATGAGCAGACTCAGGAATCAGGGAAAGTAAAAGAAAATCTGGACAAGAAGGCCATTTAACTTCTAACACCTTCTTTGCCAAGCAATATTAGATTGAAGTGTTTAACAGAGGGTAACTTTTCTGAAACATGAGACTTTCTTGCTGGATGGAATCGCTGATGAACACCTCTCCCCCACTCCATCAGTAAGTTGTTGCTCCTGGCCAGCATAAAGATAGCTGTTTACTACTGTTACTCATCAAAAGACGAAACAGCGAGACACATGTAAAGAAGCTGATGCATACTGTAAAATAAATCATTTTTATTCTTCCGCTAGTTAGTAAATTAAGATAATTTTTTCTTTATAATTGCATTTTACTTCTCTGTATTTTTGATTTTTGTCTTCTTACCAACCAAAATCTAAGTTAAATTTTCAAAGTTCCCTCCTCTCCAGTTTCCTGTTAGTCCAGAAAAAAAAAAAAAAACAACAAAAAAAACCTACACCACAACCTGACTGGCCAACAACAATTAAATTGCCTTTTAAAAAAATAAAGATAGATAGCGGGAAAAAAGTAGTTTTTAAGGTATTACAGATTTCACTCAATAAATACTGATTTTTGTCTTCAAAACCCAAAATGCTAAAGGGAATAAGGGTCTCCATTGTTTTTAGGTCAGACAAGAAATGCATGTTTGGCTATATCCTATACTGCCATGTATGAAAATACAGCTCTGCAGATATTATTTTGAAATAATCAACCTAAACAATAAAAATATTATATTCAGGCTCCGACTAGGAATAGCTATTCAAAGAAAGATACTAGTTAAAAATAAGACCTACTCAAAGTAAAGAAAGAAAAATACATTTAATGAATGCAGTTTACTTTTTTTTGGTTTTCTTTTTTTAGCTGAAGCACTTTAAATGACTAGTTCTTTGTCTTGATGCAAACTGCAGCAGATATTTAGGTATTTGTTGGAAAGGTGTCTCATTCACTTATACCATCTACATTGCTAAAGGTCACTTCCTGAGGCTTACTAGTTATGCATATAATGGCTTTAAAGTTTTGTTCTTTGCCTCCTTCTCAAATGCTCCCTCCCATACTTAAATGCTACTTAAAAACAAGTGCTTAAGTGCAATGCAAATACGGAATAAAAATTAATAAAAGCCCAACAGCACATGCAGGTACAGTAAATTTCTACTAAACTTACAACTAGTGCAAACAGAAGATTTTGTCCCGAAATAGTCAGTTGATCTGACTTAACCATAACATGCTGCATTTGCATATGATTACGCATGCCTGGTGGCCAAGACAGCAGCATAAGGCTGGTCAAAGAAGGGATTATAAGGAAAGCTATGGTACAATGTCCGTACTGTTGGGCAATAACTTGATTTCAGTGATTGCACTCTCACTGCCTCACTCCCTGCCATTTCAAACTCACTGTGAGAGCCACCCTCCTCCATCTTCATTATTCTAACAAGCACTCTTCTCAAGGGAAAAAAATAATGAAAAAATAAAGCAAGCACACCACGGAAGACAGAATATGCTTCAAAATACACCATCAGCAGCAGAGTGGTGGGAGGAGAAGATTTCAGTAAGGGAGATGGACTGGGAAAAAGCAGGCAGGAAAATCAGTGCTGCACACTTCTACTCCCCATGGCAAAACAAAGCATCAGTTCCACAGTCCTCACTACGCCCCTCCTGGAAATGCTCTAAGGACTCTCACTGTATTCAGGACAAGCAGTGTCAGAAGTCGGTCAACTACAGGTACTAGCGGCAAGTCCTTCTCCCCATCACAGACCCTGTCCCTCACTTCCACCAAGATCTGCGTAACTGCAGGTTTCTGCCATCAATTCATTTCCACATGGAGCTATGCAAGCATGTATATACCGTATGTACTGACAGTGATGTACTGTTCCATGCCAGATAACACACTAATGAGCAAAGGTATGTTCACAGAAAATATCTACTAATGCAAATAATTTGCTATTTTCTATATAATAGGTACATACACACCCACAATTACACCAGCTAATACTCTTATGTAGAACAGCATATAAATAACTTACATATAAAGAAATTAAGACCTGAGACTATTCTCCTACATATCTGCAGACCACCAAAACAACACCTCAACTGTTCAGAGGTGCTTCCCCAGTATCTAAATACGTAGAGACAGAATTGGCAAAACACATCTGCCAATAAACAAAAGCAGACCAGCAAGGTTCATACTCTGTAAAGTAACACTTTAAAGCATGTTAGACCGCACAAACGCTGTCAATGAGCAATACGAACGGTACAATCAACATTTAAACAGAGCTTTGACCCTCCATTGACTAAGCAAGATCTATGACAGAGAATTATAGCTACCCATAGAAAGCTGGTCACTAGTGCACGTTGTTACTATCAGACTCAATAGTAAGAGCGCAATCAGGCTTAGTACTTGTCCCAGAGTATTAAGAATGGTATGGGGACTGCTGGTGGTTGTAGGTTGCAACTGCAGAGAGCTATAAATGGTTACCAACAGATGCACGTGCTAACAGGTGGACCCGGCTTTTCCGCCGTTACACTATTACTAGCGGCAGGCACAAAAAGCGCACTTGAGCAACCTCACTGCAGGCTTCAGGCCCTACATGGCAATCCCCCAGGCTTCCTTCCGCACGCGAGTACCGGGACCAACACCCTGGTTTCCTCCTAGACCTGCGCAGACTGCTCGATGAACGCTCTGCGGGCTTCCTCACCGCCTGCTTACTTTCACTGTATTCATCAGCTGCTGCTGGGGAAAACGAAGCAGGCGTGGCCTGGGAGCGCAGGGTACACGGGCCTGCGGGGAGCGCGGGGCCCGCC